TATCTTAGCTGTAGAGGGCAGTGTCACTGGCCCTCATGTGGGATCCGAACCGGGGCCCTCTGGCGTCCCAAGCCAGCTCTTAACCAATGCGCCACTCAGCCGGCCCTAAACCTTGATCTTATTCCCAGGCTTGACTAGACATTTCCTTTGATAGGCAAAGAAACCGATTTTAATGCCAAAGCTAAAGCTTGCTCTTTGAGATTAGGAAGATACCCTATCCTTGCTAGAATCTTTCCTACCTGAAGTGTTATATCAACCTCCTTTACCTGGCTTAACATCCCTTTGCCCCTTTGTGACATAGCCCAATCCAGAAAGGATAATGTTTCTTAGGCCCCCACCTCGCACCTACTTCCCTTCCTCCAACCTGTTTAAAGCATGTGCTTGCTGTCTTTCCCTCCTCTGTTGAGACCCTGTCTTCATTTACAAAACAACCAAGGCAGGCTTTCTTCCAGTTCTGATTCTCACTACCCAGCCCCCTTTGTCCACTCATTGCTTTCCTTCCATCTTCACTTTCAGCTCCCTAGCAGCCATTTCCTTGTGTTCTGCAGGGGTCCCTTCTCATCACGTGCAGCAGATGCTATGAAGAGAATGAGGACAGGAGGAACACAAAGGAGAGAACTGTTTATTAAATTGCTATTCCATGCCAGGCCAAGGTATCTGTATATTATCATTTAATTCTCATGGCAACACTATAGAGTAGGCACTCTATATTACCCTTTTTAAAATATAGATAGATAGATAAGGCTTAAGCATAAGATTACACAGCTAATAAATAGAACAGCTGAGATTTAAATCTTATTCTATCTGAATCCAAATTTTCTTTCCTCGTGACCACACTGCCTTCCATAACTGAGGCATGTCCTGACTTACAACTAAAAACGTTAGCCTCAAATCCTAGCACATCTTTGAACAGCAATTATACAGAAAAGAAGGGCCAAGTCCAAGGGAGAATGTGAGTTGAGTCTAAAGTTAGTGCCTGGCCCAGGCAGGGTGAACCCAGGAGGAGGAGTTTTCCTTGGAGAGAGACATTTCAGATGGCTATAGGGGTTCATATTAAACAATGAGTAGTAAATAATGGTGACCCATTGACCAAGTTCTTGTGAATACTGAAAATTGAAATGGCTTCCTGTTGGTTTAGATAAAATCCATAATAGATGATAAACGGAGAATGGGCTTCCACTGGAATGCTCTGATTTAGTACTTTTAATGTGTCCATCAACCAAATACCTATTAATAATAGTGATTTCCCACAGGAAGTGTTTCTATTTTTTGTTTTTTCCCCCAAAATCACATTAGTTTTTTTCTGATTATAAAAAAACCCAAAAGTACTAAACAACATAAAGAACAAAAATATATATAATATATATTATTTAATGTATATACATATTTGTGAACAAAGCTGCTTTGTCCCTTTAAGATAAATTCTTAGACATGAACTTTTGGGCGTAGAGTGTGGTCATATTTAAAGGCTTGGTAAAAATTGACAAATTGCTTTATAAGGCCAAAGGACATGAATTAAAAAATGACAGACTGAAATGCAAACAGATAATAAGCCTAGGACTTAATTAGCAATTAAACTTTAAATAACGTAATTTTTAAATATCAAAATGGAATTTTTTCATTCATTCAATATTGAGAACCAGCTATGTATCAGGCACTAAGCAAATGCCAAAAGAAAACAAAACCCCACAATAGACATGACCTCATGGGACTTGAAGTCTAAAAGAAATTCACCATTTATTGAACTCGTTTTGTGTTCTAGGACTGTGCTAAGCACTTTTAACATTATTACATCTAATCACAGGATCCTATGACGTACGTATTTTTATCTACTGAATGAGGAAGCAGGTGTTCAGAGACTGACTTGCACAGATCACATGGCTGTATGGGCTGAGGACTGAAGCCCAGCTCTGGCTGACTCCAAAGATCTCAGCATTAGCTTCTGGGTGGAGGGATTTTTAAAGCCTAAAAAATCATTGAAAGAAACCTTTTACAATGCATTGAAACCTTTTACAATGCAATGAAAAAAATCAAATAAATGACTTGGTGTGGGTTAGGGTGCAGTGAAAGAGGTGCATTCATGTTGCTAGTAGGAGTATAAATGGTTATATCCTTTTAGCAAGCAACCTGGCAAAATTATCATAATCTCTCAAACATTTTCACCTCCTTTACCTGGAATTCTAATTTTGGGGTTCTACCCTAATGAGAGAATCAGAAATGTGGTCAAATATTTATGTACAACTGACTGAATATTTGATATAGAGTGTGTATATATAATATACTCTATGTATTACATATATAATATACTACTATATATATATATTAGGTTAAATAATATAACAATACAATATCTGAAATTTGTTTCAAAATAACCTGGAAGAGAGGAAGGGAAGCGGATTAGAGCTGGGTGATGGGTACATGTAAGTTTATTACCATATTTCTAAAAAACGTCTAAAAGCATTTATGTAAAAATATTATTACATCAAGCATTATTTATTATAGTGAAAAATACGTTGTTCTATGGTATTCCATGAGACAAAATATGCAGCCATTGAAAGGGATGTTCTTGAGAAAAAATTAGAAACATTGAAAATGCTTTTAGAATTATGTAAGCAGGACACAAAACTGATAAAAATCTCATTTCAATTATGTGAAAAGATTTAGAGAAAACACACTGAAACATTAATAGCAAGATTGTGTGATTTTTATTTTCTTATTTATGTTCTTTTGTGTTATTTTACAAATGCCATTTATACTCAGAAAAGTACTTCACTGAGGAGAAATGTCAATCTGTACCTGTAACGCGTCCCTTATTGTCACTGTCAGAGATGGTCACTGTTCTGATTAGCCAACTGAGCCGATGTCACGCAGGTGACAGTTTCTGGTTATAAATAAGGAGGTCATTGGCAGAGAGGAAATGAACCTCTGGTTTTGTAATTTATAGCCTATACTCCCTACCGCACAACACAGCCAGTTGTGTTTATGAGAGAGAGCTCCATTGTCAAGGAGTGATGGTGAAATTAATTGCTCCGCTTTAGCATGTGAGTGCTTTGGCATTTTTTGCCTTTGAAAAAAAACACAAAAAAACTATATTTTCACATACTCATGCATTAAATATTTGGTAAGAGCCTGCTCTGTGCCAGGCACCATACTAGGCTTGGTTTAAAAGATGAAAGGAGCCTGCTCTTAAGGAAGCTCACTCTAATGGGAGAGGCTGATGTAAATAGTTGTTACATCTTACTTTAAAAGGCTGTGGTGGAGGTAAGCTCAGGATGAACCATCAGACCCAGGCCGGGGTCCACAGGCTTGCCCGAGGTCACTCTGCTAAGATCTTTTATTTAGCAATTAAATCTCTAGGTATACTATAAATGGTGCAGTCATTTTCCTCACACAATTTAGATTAGATTTTATTACTCCGCCCTAAATTTCAGGCTTTTATGATAACCTTAATGGTATTTTTTTGGATAGTCTGGCTGCTCAAGATCTGACTGACATTCAGATCCTACTTGTTTATCTCACTGTGTCGTTTTTTCCTCAGAGAGGTATGACCATTTACCACAGACTTCTCATGTTCCATTGCCTGCAACTAGAATTTCAACGGTAATTGCTAGAATTTGTCTTTCTCAGAGCATGAACTTTATAAAATAGAAATCAGTATACAATTAATATGAGAAAAAAACTTTTTTTGTAGCACTTAAAACTAATAGCCTCAA